GGTTGGAAGCACTCTTCGCCGTTTCGTTGCCAAAGCAGCAGTAAGAAACATTTGCCTAGAAGCTGCCAGTTTACTCCAGCCACACCAACTGGGCTTTGGGGTCTCCCAAGGTAGTGAAGCCGCAGCTCATGCGGCAAGGGCCTACATCAGGGACCTACCAGAAGACAAGGCAGTAGTCAAACTTGATTTTAAAAATGCCTTTAATATGGTGAAGAGAGATGCTGTCTTGCCAGCTGTTCAGGATCGGTTCCTCAGTCTTTTTGCCTTCATTTCAGCCGGCTACAGCAAACCCTCAATTCTTTTGTTTGGAGAACATGAAATTCTCTCATCAGAAGGTGTTCAGCAGGGTGACCCACTCGCTCCACTTCTCTTCTGCTTGGCAGTAAGAGAACTAACTTCCAGCCTACGCAGCGAGCTCAACATCTGGTACCCGGATGACGGCACTCTGGCAGGTACTGAGGAGTCCCTGGTAGGGGACCTACAACTGGTGAAAACACAGGGAGAAGACTTGGGACTCATCCTCAATCCCTCCAAGTGTGAAATCACAGCGAACCAGGAAATAATCATTGCTGTGCGAAGAATCCTCCTGGAAGCCTCTACTATCACTCCGGCCAACAGTACCCTCTTGGGAGCACCGCTGGGTCACCAGGCCATCAACACTGTCCTCAATGACAAATTGAATGACCTGATGAGAATGGAGGAGAGAATAAGTGATCTTGATGCCCATGATGCTCTGTATCTCCTCACAAGGTGTCTTACTATGCCAAGACTCACTTCCTGAGGTGTGCACCCTCTTTTGACAACCCAACACTCGACGAATATGACGCACACCTGAGATCAACCTTTAAGAAGGCACTGAACCTGTCACTAGAGGATCAGCAATGGGATCAGGCAACCCTCCCAGTGCGACTGGGAGGTATAGGGGTGCACAAAGCAATGCATGTTGCTTTACCTGCTTTTCTGTCTTCGTGTTTGGCTTCCAGTGCATTAGTCAAGAAGATTGTTCCCGAACGCTTGAGAGACGTGGTAGGAGCTCAAGACCCCAGGTTTACTGAAGCAGAGATTCAGTGGGACACCCTTCCAGACTCCTCCAGTAGACTAGCTCCTCCCAAAGAGCACAAACAGTCCCACTGGGACAAACCGATCATGGAAAAAATCGCCAACACAATGCTCCCCAACGCTTCAGGAAAAGACAAAGCTTGTCTCCTGGCAGTGAAGGCACCACACTCAGGAGATTTCCTGTTAGCTGTTCCCAATTCCTCTCTGGGCACCTGTCTCGACCCACAGGCCATTTGGATTGGTATTGCTCTTTGCCTAGCCATCCCCATCCTCACCGAACATAGGCGTATTTGCAGTAGGGTGATAGCTGATCAATTCGGACTTCATGGTCTCGTGTGTCACACAGCAGAAGGGAAGTATGCCAGACATGAGGAGGTCAATGACATCACAAAGAGAAGCCTCGCCACAGCCTGTTGCCCAGCTCAATGGGAACCCCAAGTGCAGAGGTCTGACGGAAGTCAAAAGCATCCTGATGGAGCCACTATGCTACCCTGTGCCGCCACATTGGCAGACATGTACTTGCCATAGTCCGTAGTGGAAGAGGGTGGAGCTGCCAGCCACAGGGAGACCCAGAAGATCCGCAAATATGAAGACCTTCCCCCTTGCTATAACTTCATCCCATTAAGATCGAAGACCCTTGGAGCATGGGGCAAGTATGCTCTAAAGTTCCTCAAAGAGCTGGGTGAAAAGCTCATCATAGAAACCAAGGACCACAGGGCGACCAGCTTCCGATTCGTTCCGTTCGAGATGCATCCACGTGTGGCCTGAGCACGCCTCACTTGTCACGTGGGTGCAAGTGTTTACAAGCCAGCCACCGCGGTCGCATCCAAACATACAATTGGAACATTTCATATTATCACAGCGTTTTTAGTGATTGCACCTGCAAAATAAGTCACCATGGGCCCCAAGAAAGCTTCTAGTGCCAACCCTGTGGTAAAAAGGGTGAGAATTAGTATGGAAATTAAGGAAGATTTTGAAAGGTTTGGGGCTAACCCTGAGATGCCTATGCCAGTTGTGGAATCCTTTGTGCCTACTTCAAAGATTAAGGAAATGTGTGCAAAGTGGGTTGAACTGCAAACCTTTATGGATGAAAATCACCCTAACACAGCTATTGCAAGCCGTGCTTGTGACTATTACAATGACAATGTTATGGCCCATTTTAGACAAATCTTAAAGGAACGGGAGGTACAGAGCTCTATGGACAGATATGTTGTGCGACAGAGGTCATCCACTTTGCACACATTTCCTTAATCTTTGAAGTAGGCACAATGGATTCCACAACTGGCATAGGCTTCTCAGGGTTAGCCCCAAACCCTTCAAAAATCTTTCTTAATTTCCATACTAATTCTCACCCTTTTTACCACAGGGTTGGCAGTTAAAAGCACAAAAAACACTGGGATAAGGTGAAATGTACCGAATGTATGCGTGGATGCAACCGCACTGGCTGGCTTGTAAACACTGGCATGCACTAGGCAGCTGAGGCCACACGGGATGCGTCCCGGATGAATCACATGAGGTGAGGCAAAATTTTTGCGTTCAAATGCTTTGTATGGTGGATTTAACATAACGCGATGCGTTCGTAAGGCATGGGTCCACTGTACATTTGTTCAATGCATTGCAAGCCTATATTTACTAAGGCACATTTTGAAATACAGTGGTCCCTCAATTATCGTCCATAATCCGTTCCTGGAAGTGGGACTATTATCGAAATACACGATTTTCGAATCAATTTTCCCCATAAGAAATAATGTAAATAGTACAATTATTCCGTTCCTGACACCCAGAAGTGTTAAAACAAAAAAAAATTTTTACATGAAATATAGATGTAGTACATAAACAATACAATGGCACATGATGAATGAAACATTAACAGCATAACACTTACCTTTATTTGCGATTCTTCTTAGTGTATGGAAGACTGGAGGAGGAGAGAGATTGAATTACTGTTTGGAAGGGGAATCCCCTTCCATCAACACCTCACGTACCAAGTGCTTTTCTGGGGTTACTTCTCTTCTTTGTTTCTTAATGCCACTAGGACCAGCTTGAGAGTCACTGGGGTCCTGTCTCACAAAAAAACAGTCCAGAGAGCTGTTTCTGGCATCTCTTTAAAACTTCCCTAAAATGGGCCAAGACTCTGTCACTGTACAAGTTGCCGATATGGCTTGCAACATCCTTCTCAGGATGATGTTTCTCCGTAAATCTTTCCATCCTACCCCACATTTCAAAAATCTCCTTAATTTCTGAAGAAGGCACCTTCTTCTATCTCTCTTCCTCCTCCTCTGCAGCAAGATTCTGAGCTGCAATCTGTTACTCTTCCTGCTGAAGCTCTTGCAGCTTCTCAGTGGTTAGCTCTTCGTTGTGGTCGTCCACCAACTCTTCCACATCCTCCAAACTCACATCCAACCCCATGGACCTCGCCAATGCCACAATAGATTTCACAACTAACATAGGCTCATCAGGGTCAGCCACAAACCCTTCAAAATCCCTCTTGTGGACACAATCTGGCCACAATTTCTCCAAGCAACAACAGCTTCCTTGATTTCATTTTTCTATGCCACGATGGAAGATATGGTTGTATGGGGTTTGTTATACATCCTGGCCAGTTCGGCCACACGTATGCCACTTTCATATTGTTCAATGATGTTTTTCTTAACCCTTTGACTGTTTACGCCGTATATATACATCTTACGTGCCACTGTTTCTGACGTATTAATACGCGTAAATTCTAACGGCTTCAAATCAAGCGGGAGAAAGCTGGTAGGCCCACATGTGAGAGAATGGGTCTGTGTGGTCAGTGTGCACCACAAAAAAAAATCCTGCATCACGCAGTGCGTAATGAGAAAAAAATTGACCGTTTTTTTTGGATTAAAACGCCAACTTTGGGGTGTATTTTCATATTGTATTTATCATTGTATTCTCGTTTTCATGGTCTCAGGTGATAAAATGGAAAACATATTACAGAAATAGAGATGATTTTGATTAGTTTCACAATGAAAACGACCTTGAAATTGAGCTCAAAATAGCGGAAATGTTCAATTTTTACCAATGTTCAGGAGTAAGCAAATCACACCACATGTCCAATACACGTCAACTGGGGAGTCTAATATTCTTTCACTAGTACACTGATATTATTTATACCATTTTTACAATAATGCAGTAGTCTGCATAACAGTAAATTTTGTAGTTTTTTGAATGAATAAAAAATCAAAATAGAAAGCAATAGTAATATAAAAAGGGCCTAGAGACGTGACTAATGAACAGATATGTTATTTTAGTGCCAAGAATGTCTACATTGTTTATTCTGGACCCTATTTTGAAATTGGCACCTTTCTTAATTTACGTGAAATTGGCCAAATTGCCAATTTATGACCACTTTATTGGGTAGTTAATATCGGTAAATGGGCAGTTTCTTGTACTCAACTGATAGATAAAATGGAGTTCTAAAGAAATAGCTATGAGTTTGGTCAACTGGAACAACGGAATTGGCTAAAAACAGGGCTTAAAGTCGGCAAAATCGCCGATACATATATGTCACCGAGACCACTAACTTCGCGGGAGCATAATTCCGTGAGCTTTTGACCAAATTTCACACTTTTGGTGTCATTACCATCGGGAAAAGATTCTCTATCATTTCACGAGAAAAATAATTTTTTTTTTCCAAAAATTTATCGACATAGAATGACAGTTTCAGAAAGGGGCCTGCGACAGTCAAAGGGTTAAATTCAATTGTATTTCTCACCTTCTTTACCAAAGGCTTGGCACTAGGAGCTTTCTTTGGAGCCATGGTAGCTCGTTTAGCACTTGCAAGCACTAAAATGAATGAAATATATCATATGAACACGTGAGGGGACCGTCGCTCACTGGTAAACAATGGCAAACTGGCTGGGAAGGGAGGCCGAGGCGGCTGAGAGCCGTGAGAACACGTCCAGGACGAAAGATGATTAGCGAGTTAACGAATCATTTGCGAGCCAATGTTTAGACGAAATAACAGGACTTTCCGAAATGGACGACTTTCAAGCAGGATGATTATTGAGGGACCACTGTAAGTAGAATTTTGGTACTGTAGTACAATTCAAATTGCAGACAAGTGAGATTAGCATGTACTTGTGAGAAAGGTACAGACAAGTGAGAAACAACTGCATACTTATTTATTGATTTACTTATTACAGTACAAACAGCTTTTTCATTACTTTCCAAAAGATTTAATAATTTTTTTTCCTTAACAGCTCAGCATTATTACACTATTCTTGTGTTATTTGTACCTTCAACAGGAAAAACAAAAGGCCACAGCTGTAAGTTGGGAAAAATATGGAAATGAAGGTTTTTTTTTTTTTTTTTTTTTTTTGCAAAATGATTAAGCAAAGAAATAAATTATAGAACTGAGTAACAAGTGCTACAAACTGAAAAAATTATAAAATTATATAAGAATTATTGAGGATGATGCACAAGCTCAGGTAACTTCATAAAGGTAATTACATAAGGCACTTAAGCACTGCATAATCAGTGGATTTCTTTTGTGCCTACTATTATATAAATACATTTAACTACATTTTTTTGTATGGCTCACAGAAGTAAACATTATTATTATTGCTAATAAGATCATGATGATGATGATGATGATGAATGGAAAGACTGGAAGTTTTTGGTAAGGAAGGAAAATGAACCAAAGTTCCTTAACCGAAACAACAGCTGTGAATTTTCTTCGCGAAGTTTTGTCAAGTCATCGTTGGAGAGCGTTGTGGCATCTCCGCTCGAGTAACTCTCATTCTGGACAACCGACACTTGCAGACCTGGTACAAGAGAAGGCAATACTGTGAATGTAAAGTTTTGACATGTTATTAAATGTGTATGAGAATACATGTTAAAATAATGAAAACATTATTGTAATAACTGGTAGTAGTTTCACATAAAGGAAAGTGGCAAATTTAAATCATAGTTGATAAGCAATGTAAAACCTGCTTGTTAGTCTATGCTAATAAAAATGCTCAAGAAAAGACAATTTTATCAACCAATGAAATTGCAGTAGTAGTAGTCGTAGTGGATTTTGAAGTACAAACATATTTTAAGCACCAGCCAGCAATTATGCTATAGTTCATAATTAAATTTCTTGTCATGTGACCACCATAGTCCATTATTTAATTAACCCGTAAACGGTCCAAGCAGATCTTCGTTCACATGTGTAGTGCTACAAAAGTAGATCTACTTTCTTTTTACATATTTTCAAATATAACACATTTTCAAATGTAAAAAAACAAAAAGAAGATCTACTTTTTTTTACATGCTTTCAAATGTTGAAAAAACGTATATATACGTTTGGACCATTTACGGGTTAATGCACAAATTCAAATAACCTAGCCCAATATAATTTTGCATAACTAACCAAAATTGGGTAATGAAACTACAGTGGACCCCCGCATAACGATGGCATCACATAGCGATTTTTCCGCATACCGCTTACTTTTATCGCAAAATTTTTGCCGCGCATACCGATTAAAAACCCGCTCACCGATTTTCGTCCGAGACGCGTCCAATGTGCCCTCAGCCAGCCTCACATGTGCCGCCCGTCCCATTGTTTACCAGCCAGCCTCCGCGGTAACATCCAAGCATACACTCGGAATATTTCGTATTATTACAGTGTTTTCGGTGCTGTTTCTGGAAAATAAGTGACCATGGGCCCCAAGAAAGCTTCTAGTGCCAACCCTGTGGTAAAAAGGGTGAGAATTAGTATGGAAATTAAGAAAGATTTTGAAGGGTTTGGGGCTAACCCTGAGAAGCCTATGCCAGTTGTGGAATCCATTGTGCCTACTTCAAAGATTAAGGAAATGTGTGCACAGTGGGTTGAACTGCAAACCTTTATGGATGAAAATCACCCTGACACAGCTGTTGCAAGCCGTGCTGGTGACTATTTCAATGACAATGTTGTGGCCCATTTTAGACAAATCGTAAAGGAACGGGAGGTACAGAGCTCTATGGACAGATTTGTTGTGCGACAGAGGTCCAGTGACTCTCAAGCTGGTCCTAGTGGCATTAAAAGAAGAAGGGAAGTAACCCCGGAAAAGGACTTGCTACCTCAAGTCCTAATGGAAGGGGATTCCCCTTCTAAACAGTAAGAAGATAATGCTCTCCCCTCCTCCCATCCCATCAATCATCACCAGATCTTCAATAAAAGTAAGTGTCATGTAAGTGTGCATGCCTTTTTCAGTTTGTGTGTATTAAAATTAATATTTCATGTGGTAAAAAAATTTTTTTTTCATACTTTTGGGTGTCTTGCACGGATTAATTTTATTTCCATTATTTCTTATGGGGAAAATTCATTCACATAACGATTATTTCGCATAACAATTACCCCTCTTGCACGGATTAAAATCGTTAACCGGGGGTCCACTGTATTTGTTGGGCTTATGTGAGCTAGGTTATTGATTGAAACTAGTGATGGGATAATACCAAAATTCCTGCCAATACAGATACTGTACCATCAAAATTTGTTGATACCTCACCAAAGCTGCTACTCAATTTTAGGTTGATACTGACATCACTGAAATTAGCCAATATCGCCTGATACTGATATTGATACTTGGCACACCCCTAATTGAGACCCTAAGAAACACGACATGTATACAATGTATGTTACAAGAAAGCACTCCTACCAGCCCTGACCTAGCTATATGAAACATGAAATACTGGATAACACAAACAAGTCTTTATACAGCCCTTTGGTAAAGAAAGTGAGAAACACGACAGAATTGAACAAAGAAATTGTTGAAAAATACCAAAGTGGTATGTGTGTGCTCCAGCTTGCCAGGATGTATGGCAAAAACAAATCGACTATCAGTTCCATCCTAGGGAAGAAAAAAGAAATCAAGGAAGCTGATGTTGCGAAAGAGGTAGATATGCCATACGCCACCAAGAGTCTTCAATAAAGGTATGTAAATGTGACTTTAAATGTTTATTTAAATGTTTATTTATCTATTTCATTAGTGAGAGACGGCAGACTTGTTAAAAAAAAAATGTATTTTTATTTGTTTTGTGTTTGTAAAACTATAGTTACTCATTAAAAAATGTATTTTTTTTTTAATATTTTTGGGTGTCTGGAACGGATTAATTGGATTTATATTATTTCTTATAGGAAATATTGCTTTGACTTTCAAACAATTTGAGTTTCGGCAGAGCTTCTGGAACAGATTACGGCCAAAACTTGAGGTTCCACTGTATACAAAGTGAATAACATAAGGAAAAGGATTGGGTTACATTTCAAAAATCTCAATTAATCAACCAGAAATATACTTTGCAAGTACAGTAAAGTGAAAGTTTCATATTTTCTGTCAGCCACACTGTTAAGTAGTGTAGCATGCCACAAGGAATGTTGCTGACACAGCAATGAGATTCTTTTTGGCTGCCTGCTCCCTCACAATAGGTATATGTTAACACCTAGTTACTAGATCAGCACACAAGATTGTATTTTTTAGAGAAAAGACAATCCCAGACCCAGTTATAGTGTGAACCTCAACTTTCAAAACATGCCAAACTCCATGTACCTAGTTAAGAGTATTTTGTGTATCACTGTCAATATTTTTTATTGTCTGATTTCGAGCCAAAAGAGGTACTGTCTTTATGAATAAAAATATGTTGAGCAGTGCATATGTAATGTTGATGAGCTCTGCTTTTCTGAAATACAGATACCAATCAGCAGTATAAGCATACTTACAGCACCCCTATGAAGAATGTTTCAGTCAACATCTCAAGCAATACAATCAGGGAATACCAAGAACACATTTTAGGAAATGTTTTCCCAAGTTATACAGAATAACTGAAGCAGTGTGATTTTGTAAATGGTCCAAGTCGGACCGAAACGTCGTCATAAGCTCCTCTCTCCTATGTGCGGGTTATCTGTGTAGTGTGCAGTCAAGAAGGTTGAAGTGAGAAAAACTTGCAAAATATCAAGAATGGAAAACATGTCAGTGGAAATATGAAGAGCAGAGCAGTACACAGTGCCCAATATAAACACTTAAACTGCCATCGTGAGCAGTTAAGAGGAAAGGAATGAAAATGGGGGTAATGACATTAGAAAATTTAGCTGATCTAAACTTAATTAAATACTTAGCTAATATCATTTGACAAAATGAAACACACATGGAGTGCAAATGAGTGACCTATGACAGGTTTAAGCAACTTTTCCTCATATACATCAATGATCTTCCAAATGCATCTCAGCAACTTAGACCTGTTCTCTTTGCTGACGACACATTTCTTATCTCCCACCCAAATCTGAATTCCCTCAACAGCACTGTTAATAGAAAAACTCTGAAAGATATCAGCCTGTATGACTACCAATAAACTCATGCTTAACACTGGCAAAACCTTCTATGTAATGTTTGGGAACAGGGCTATAAGCGTCCATCTAAATGTTACCATTAATGAAACTCCCATTGCTAATAAAAATGAAAGAAAATTCCTAGGTCTGTTCCAAACAGCAACTTGAAATTCAACACATTACAAAAAGAAATCCAAATCAGTTGGAATTCTCTCCGAGATCATCCAATCTAATGCCAGAAACACACTCCCACAATTTAAAAGCCTAAACCTACTCAATATACATGAAATTCACTCATACTACTGTGCATACTACATACACAGGACAATAAACTCTAATATCAATCCTGCCCTGAAACTCTTTCCTGATAGCTGCAACAGAACTCAAACATAATACTAGATGCAAAACTCTCTGATATCCGACTCAAAGTGCTTCAAAGGACCTAAAATCTGGAACTCTCTTACCTTAAAACTCAAGTCTCTCTATCTCCCAGCTGCTTCAAAGCTACTGTTAAAAATCACCTTTTCTTAATGTGAACCTAACAACATTGTATTATGCTCAACAATTCTTTCATCCTCTATTGTTTCTGTACTTGTCTGTCATTCCTTCCATAGTAATCAGTTTACATTAATGTTTTTCACTGATTTCATCATTGCTTAGTTAATCTTAAGTTAATTTTAAGCCAGCCCGTAATGCTATGCATAGTATAAGTGGCTTTGGCATGCTGCTCTTATCTGTATTTTTTTTTGTACCTCTGTAAGTGTGCTCAAATTATAAATAAATAAATAAATAAATAAATAAATTCTTATTCTAATATACAGTAGGGCCCCACTTATATGGCGGGTTAGGTTCCAGGCTGTCGCCGGAAAGCAGACATCGCCGGAAGGCAGAACTCCATTTTTTTCCATTTATAAATGCACATAAATGCCAGACAACAAGTTTACACTAAATTATATTAAGTTAGTAATAGAACTAGGCATTAAAAACACACAAAGTAAAATACAGTCACAGTAAATTCATTACTTATCTTAAAGTATTTGTAATCTTAATGTAGGGAGAGAGGTGAGTAGTACTTGTTTGTAGGAAGTCAGGTGCAGGTAGCCCAGGTGTAGTAGCACTGGCTCCCCGTCTCATACTTAATATACGATATTTAAAACATCCCAGAGAGGTAAAATGCACATTCAGTACGCTCATTATTTACCTTAAAATGAGTAGTCTTAATATAGGAAGAGAGGCGAGTAGTATTTATTTGTATAAAGTCAGTGTAGGTAGCCGGTAGGTGGAGCCTGGGCTACACCTACCGGCTACCTACACTGTGGCCAAGAGCCATATTATTAACATTGACATGCCTTGTTCACTGAATTTAATCATTTCTAACAACTACCTTTAGATGCCATCATAAACGAAGGTAGAAATAATGAATAATTCATGCCGAAAATTGTAAACAAAAGCGGAGTGGGGGAGTGGCTGGGCCAAATG